GTGCCCAAGCAGCTGGCTTTGTGAGACTGAGCTTTGTCTGGCCTCTACCCGTTGACCTTTTAGGCATAATTGGATCTACGGCTGTGAGAAGCTATCCTGTGTAGCTCGCAGGGTCATGGAGGCACGCAAGCCATCACACCACGTCAAGGTGCAGTCTCGTCATGATGGAAAGTTCACCTAGGGTAGTTGACTAAAAATCCTGACTCCAAATCAACCAAAAGGGTTACAAACCACATACACACCTTTGTGGTTGTAGCTCAATTGGGTATCGAGGTGTGTTGGGCACTTTGGACCTTTGACCCCGTCCACTGGGCGTATGATTCGATGAACTGGACACCGGCCCCCAATGTTTACGGTTTTCATACACCGCCCCGCTGCCTTACGGGTCGCCAGCTGATCAAAGGCTTCGGTTTTGAATTCCCTAAGAAAATTTACCTGCATTGGCCTGGGCTACCCGGCAATATTCCGCCCACAAGCAAATCATTAAACTTTCTCTTCGTTATCGATATTATTTTACTATGATTTGTTTAGCACAGTCTGAATTCAGACGAGTGCGAAATGCACTTCGAATATTATATTATAGCATATACTATTTTGCAATCGTAGCGCTTTTGTGCATTTTTTTGGTTCGTCGTTTTCTTCATCTATTGGCTTGGAAGTAGTTCCACTGTAAGTCATTCCGCATTGCTCTACAAAAATAAGTGATTAACATACCAGCAACCATTAGGCAGATTTAGTATTGCATCGTTGTGAATCATCTGAGTTTTCTGTTAATCGAAATTTAAATGTTTTGCATATAGCATGTAACTTCAATTTTCACTCGCATGGTGCCTGTCAGGTGAATCGATTATTCTGCACACTAAGGTAAACATTGCGTTACTTTTGCGCACACAATGTTCACATACGAAGTCTGCACAGATTGATTTGTTCGTTCGGTCACCTAACCGTGACCCGCTTACGCCCTCGCTTAGATGTCGCCCACTTTATCGGCATTTAGATCTCTAGTTATCGGTACGCTAAAGTTTGCACACATCCGTCCGTGCGAATTAAACATTAAACTTACTCGCGTAGATAAACGAACAAAAACCCTTTCTGTTTACTTGTTTTTTGTTTGACCAAACTCACCGTAATCACCAATCAGGTTGGTATGTGGGCTCAGTTCCAGACTGTCAATAGACTAGATTTACCAGGGAAATATATATATATATATATACATATACATATATATCGTCACAATAACCTTGTTTGCAACACCGGGTGACCATTGGATAGACA